TAAACCAGGACTAAACCAGGACTAAACCAGGACTAAACCAGGACTAAACCAGGACTAAACCAGGACTAAACCAGACTAAACCAGGACTAAACCAGGGCTAAACCCAGGACTAAACCAGGACTAAACCTAAAGGACTAAACCAGGACTAAACCAGGACTAAACCAGGACTAAACCAGGACTAAACCAGGACTAAACCAGGACTAAACCAGGACTAAACCAGGACTAAACCAGGACTAGACCAGAACTAAACTAGACCAGGACTAAAGCAGGATGTGTCTCTCAGGACACAGATTGTTTTGCACTCGGCTCATTCATGATGAACATGTGAGTCAGTACAGTCACATTTTCTTTTTGTTTTGGTCATTTTTTAGCAGATTTTCTGTGTTTTACCAAAAACAAATGACAATTTATGCCTCTATTTACTATTGGCAGGGATAAAATTAAAATAGGGACACCTGGCACTTCTTTTTTTGTATAAAAGTGGGACAAATCACTGGTTTTGGATAAATCTGCGGAGAGGAATCAGCTGGAAAGTCCCCTATCAAAGTTATTTAATCTATAGACATTAGGCTGCAATGTCAGAAATTCAACTTGTACCCAATTTTAAAATGTGACAATACCAATTAAAAGAAAATCTGTGGAATATTTGCTCAGTTGAATAAAATCTACTGGGTCCATCAAGTCTCTTAATTTCCATCCATTTCTGCTCTGGCAGAAAAATAAGATTTTCTCAAATAACTTTAAAAATAATAAATTTAGGGCCATGGTGTTGATTAAAGTTGAATAGAAATGTTGCTATTGTGCATCTTTTGGTACCAATTTTATATCTCTATCTTTATAACTTTCTACGATATGACAATTTTGTCAAGATTGTGTGTTTTTTCATAATTATCCAGAATCCACAAAGGCCAAAGATGAAATGAGAGACATAAAGTTTGAGTTTGTTCTTTCTGTAGTGATCATACACTGTGTATAAAAAGAGGAGTAAGTGAGTGTGACGTGACCAGAGCGTCTCAGTGACAGGCACGACTCAGGGTTTGGTAAACTCAAGTTTCCATAAAGGATAAGGATGTTATTAAAGAAAAACTGATTTTTCAGATCAGATTTAAGGCTTCTGCAGGAGCTGAACTTCAGAGGCTCGGTGGAGCCAGTAAACATCAAGAGAATTTCATGAAATTTCTCATGGAACTTTACTTTGGCAAGTGTAAAAAACTGACACAGGTACAGACTGATTTGAAATGTTGAGCAAATGATGCTCCCTAATATACATATAAATAAAAAATGTATTAATTACACACACAAGCTACAATAAATATCAACACATTTTGTTCATAAAAACAAAACATGTAAAAATGATGTGGTCTCAAACCACAAGTGTCCACATCCACACTGCCTCAAAAACTCCTGTGTTCTCAATAAATGTGCCACAACTGTTTCTGACTGTGAGCGGGGTCGCCTCTCCACAGATCTGGCCTGTAACTTGGTCTGGTTTGGTCTCCATGAAGATAGAAAGGTTTAATGACACACTGTGGAACAATACCCACCAGAAAAGTTACACAGTGCAGCTTTAAATTAATATTGTGAATGAGTTTTATGTTCCTGGTCTGGCCGATCGATCGTATTGATCAGTGACATAAAAACAGGCTTTTAAACTAATTGCCTTGTTTTAAATGATTAATATAGAAGAGACTAAATCAGGTCTAAACTGGGACTAAACCAGGTCTAAACTGGGACTAAACCAGGTCTAAACTGGGACTAAACCAGGTCTAAAACTGGGACTAAACCAGGTGGGACTAAACCAAAACTGGGACTAAACCAGGTCTAAACCAGGTCTAAACTGGGACTAAACCAGGTCTAAACTGGGACTAAACCAGGTCTAAACCAGGTCTAAAATGGGACAAAAACAGGTCTAAACTGGGACACAACTGGACTAAGCCAGGTCTGAATCAGGTTTAAACCAAGACTAAACCAGAACTAAACCTTAATTGTCTGGAACTAAACCAGGTCTAAACTGGAACTAAATCAGGCCTAAACTAGGACCCAACCTGATCTAAACCAGAACTAAACCAGGAGAACAAAAACACAGACCTAAACCAGGTTTAAACTGGGACTAAACCAGGCAAACACTGGACTAAATCAGGTCTAAATCAGGTTGACAAAACCTTTGCAAATAAAGTAAAATCCACGACTAAACCATGTCTAAACCATGTCTAAACCAGGTCTAAACCAGGTCTAAACCAGGACTCAACCAGGACTCAACCAGGACTCAACCAGGACTCAACCAGGACTCAAACCAGGAGGTTGTAAAAAACTGAAATAAACCAGGTCTAAACTGACTCTATAATCCGGTTAACAAGAAAAGGATAAACAAGACAAAACCATGGACTGTACCAGGTCTAAACCAGGACTAAACCAGGTCTAAACTTGGTATAAACTAAGACTAAACCAAGACCAAACCAGGAGGATGAAAAAAACTGAAATAAACCAGGTCTAAACTGGGTCTAATCTAGGTCTATAATCAGGTTTACAAGAAAAAGATGAGCAAGATCTAAACTTGGACTAAACCTGGACTAAACCAGTTCTAAACTCGGTCTAAACTAGGACTAAACCTGGACTAAACCAGTTCTAAACTCGGTCTAAACTAGGACTAAACCTGGACTAAACCAGTTCTAAACTCGGTCTAAACTAGGACTAAATCAGGACTAAACCAGGAGGATGAAAAAAAAACTGAAATAGGGTCTAAACTGGGTCTAATCTAGGTCTATAATCAGATTTACAAGAAAAAGATAAGAAAGATCTAAACTTGGACTAAACCAGGACCAAAAACGAGAACTAAACCAGGTCTGGGCTTTATCAAACTGCGGATTTAGACCAGATTTTGTGCCCTGGCATATTGATCAATTAGTCGATTCCGGTTTTAATATCGTATTTCTTCAACACACACACACAGCGGCACGAGCGGCACACGAGCGGAAAAAACACACGAAATCTCAATGGTACCGCGCGGTAAAGGCACGGCGTAATGACACACTTACGTCTCTGAAGCGGTCCCACTGCTTCGGCTTCTTCCCCGCAGACATCCACCGGCCATCCTCCGCGAAATTACCACTTTTGGTTTCGATTTGCAGGGAAAAACCGGCGAGGAGGCAGAAGAGGCAGAGGAGAGAGAAGGTCCGGGCCAGCGCCATGTTTGGACGCGGACTTAGCGAGACTTTTGCGGAATTTTTTCTGGAGAGATTTGCGGAGGGAGATAGCGGCGGTGGTCGTGGTCCTACGTGGATGTTGCAGCGTCTCCGGAGTGAATGAAAAAGAGGAGGATGCAGAGGGAGGAGGGAGGAGGGAGGGAGGATGGAGAGAGAGAGAGAGAGAAGGAGGAGGAGGAGGAGAGGTGGATATAGAGATAACAGCGGTGAATGGAGCTGATGAATGGGAGGAGAAAGCTTTTGGAGAAAAAAAAAATGGTGTACGAGCCTTTCTACGATTAATCAATACGTTGTCTGGGTTACAAGGGACTAAACCAGGTCTAAATCAGGTCTAAAGCAGGACTAAACCAGGTCTAAACCAGGTCTAAACCAGGATTGAACAAGAATGAAACCAGGATGAAAAGGATCAATAAACTGATAAATCAGGTCAACAAAACCTTTGCAAATAAAGTAAAATCCAAGACTAAACCCAAGACTAAACCAGGTCTAAACTTAGTCTGAATTAGTACTAACCCGGGACTAAACCAGGACCTTAAACAAGAACTAAACCAGGTCTAAACTGGGTCTGTAACCAAGGTCTACAAGGTTATCGAGAGAAGATTAAGCAAGACTAAACCAACTTTGAATTAGACCTGGTTTAGTCCCGGTTTAGTTCAAGTCTGGTCTAAACAAGGACTAAACCGGGACTAAACCAGGACTAAACTAGGACTAAACTAGGAAGTCTAAACTGGGTCTAAACAAGGTCTATAATCAGGTTTACAAGAAAAGGATAAACAAGACTAAACCATGGGCTAAACCAGGTCTACACTTGGTCTAAATTAGGACTAAACTAAGACTAAACCAGGACCAAAAACGAGAACTAAACCAGGTCTAAACTAGGTCTCTAACCAAGGTCTATCAGGTTAATGAGAAAAGACTAAACAAGACTAAACCAAGTTTGAATTAAAGGTCTAAACTTGGACTAAACCAAGACAAAACCAGGTCTAAATGAGGACTAAACCAGGACCAAAAATGAGAACTAAACCAGGTCTAAACTGGGTCTCTAACCAAGGTCTGTCAGGTTAATGAGAAAAGGCTAAGCAAGACTAAACCAAGATTGAATTAAATCAAGTCTAAACCAGTACTAAACCAGGGCTAAACCTGGTCTAAACTAGGACTAAACCAGAACTAAAAACGAGATCTAAACCACGTCTAAATTAGATCTCTAACCAGGGTCTATCAGGTTAACGAGAAAAGACTAAACAAGACTAAACCAAGTTTAAATTAAACCTGGTTTAAACTTGGACTAAACCAAGACATAACCAGGTCTAAGTCTGTGGTGAAAAAGGACTAAACGACGACTAAACTGGGACAAACCAGGACTAAACTAGAACTAAACTAGGACTAAACCTGGGACTAAACCAGAGCTAAACCAAGACTAAACCAAGATAAAACAAGGACTAAACTAGAATTAATCCAGGACAAGGAATAAACCATGACTGAACAAAGATTAAACCAAGACTAAAACAGACCAGGACTAAACCAGGACTAGACCAGGTCTAAACCAGGACTAAACCAGGACTAAACTGAACCAAGACTAAACAAGGTAGTCTATGTGCTACATCTGTATCTATAATTACAGATCTACAACCGAACTAAAGCAGCATGAAACCAGGATTAAACCAGGACTAAACTATTAGATCTGTGGCGAGGTAACCTACTACTACTACTACTACTACTACTACTACTACTACTATTACTACTACTACAGGTAATAATTTGTGATGAGAAGAAATAACAAAGGCATAAAAGTAAGTATTAATTTCTGATAATATATATTTGCAGGAGAGAAAGAGGAAATTTACTTGGTGTCGTTAAATATTTTTACAGGTTCAGTTTGGATTTACAACACAGTAAATACAACTCTGCTGCCATCTGGTGGACAAACGAGGCAAGACGAGTTCAGCCTTAATCTTGTATTTACACTCACTGGTTCTACATTTGGAACTAAACCAGGATTAGAACAGATGTAAACAAACTAAGGATTACTCAAACCTTTAATTATATTTAAATAAAAGACTAAAGTTGTGAGTTTCATGAAAAGTTGATTTGTCCGGCTGTGGAGTAGTATCCTGTACAGTCTGAAGAAAATCTCTGGGACAAAAGCACTGAGTTCAGCTCCAGATCTCCAAAATGGTAAGATCCAAAAGTCTGAAACGAAAACAAAAAACAAAATACACATGATTAAAGCTTCAGTATGTAACATTCTGTCTGGTTTGTCGCTGCTCGTCTTCACAGTACGGGACAATAGAGAACGAAACTGACCAAGTATCTCCATGGAAACAAGCAAAATTACAGGTCAGGTCTGTGGAGAGGCGACCTCACTTGAGTACATAATAAAGTAAAACAATTGGCCTAAAAAATATGACCTTTTAATTACTTTTATTATTATTATCTGTGTATTATTTATTATGTATTGTGTATTATTTATTTGTATTTACATTTAATGTTTTTGTTCATGTTATAATTTACAACATTACAGATTTTGAATTTTTTACAGGTCTATTTTAATTTTATTTATTTTTTTGGAAATTGAAAATTACAGGTCAAGTCTGTGAAGAGGAAGATGACATTTTTTTTCAAGGGTGAAGCATGGCAAAAAATGACAAAATAAATGCGAGATACATACGTTTAAAGCCATATTGTGGGACATTCAAAGCAAAGCAATAGCGTCTCCACGGAGACAAGAAAGTGGCAGACTCACATTCAGAATGTGTGTAGTGAAAATTTGCATAATCCAAAAAGTAAAAAAACCAAAAAAAACAAAACAAACAAAAACATTACAATTAATCACATTCGTACAGAAAAGCAACTAGTCTGGAAAATCTAGCCATTGATTTATTTATATTTATATTTATATTTTAGTTTTTTTTTTTTACATTTATATTTTTGTTTTATTTATATTTTTATTTGTATTATTTATTTTATTTATTAAGTTGTTGTTGTTGTCATGGTTGCATTTTGTATTATTTATTTTTATTTAATGTTTTTGTTCACATTACAATTTACAATATCACAGATTTAGAATTTTGTACAGATCTATTTTATCTATTATTGTATCATCAAATTAAAACGATACGATATATTGATATTTTGATATTTTTGAACACCTCTAGTGAATAGTTTGACTGTGTTCAGGACCAGGATGTGTGTGGGTGACAGTGTGAAAGGAAATGGAAATACAGATGTGGGAGTTGCTTTTTTTTAGACACAACTATTTGCATTTTGATTTTATTTCTCACTAGACGTCGACAAAATTTAAAAAAAAATTATAGATTTTTGACTTTTGTTCAGTATTTGCATTATAATTTCATTTGAAGAGACGGTTTTAGAAAGAAATCTCCAGAAATGTTGAACCTGATCAATATTTGTTTGGGATTGTTTTGAATATAAATAAAAATTAAGGTACTTTTTTTTTTACATTGTGTGTCAAAAAAGCTCCAAATGTTTACAACTTTTAACAATACGACTAACTTACAATTTTATGCAGATTGATTTTGCGCTGCAGCTGCTGTAATCAAGGCCATTCACTGACAATTGTGCTCAACAGTCCTTTTATTTTATTCACTACTTTATTTTATTTCTTTTTTTTTTTTTTATAAATTGCAGGTGTTGGAAGAAAAGCGACAACAAAACTATAATTTTCATCAAGACAAAATCAGTTTGAGAAAAGTGTTCGGAAAATCAGGCTCCAATCTCAATCGTGTATGAACTGTAATTACCACATATAGGGATAAAATGGGACATACGTTAGTTTAAAAGGTGCACTGCGTAACTTTTCGGTTCACACGTGCTCGTTTCTATGGATCTATGTCGCTGCTCTGTCTGGAATGTTCCACAGTGTGACTTTAAACAGCTCAACTTTACATTTATTCGATTACAAGTGGTTTTACAGCTCAAAAATACCAAGAAAAACAACATTTTGACTGTGAGTGGCATCGCCTCTCCACAGATCTGACCTGTAACTTGGTCTACATGAAGATAGAAAGCTTTAAAGCCATACTGTGGGACATTCCGGACAAAGTAAGGTCCTGTGTTTGACTCTTGTGAGCTTTAAGTCGTGTTATAATGTTGTTTCCTCGTGTTTTTTGTTTCATTCACACATGTTTAATGCACAAATCCTGCTTTTTTTAGTTCTTCTCTCAAACCGAAAACACTCTGTTCCACCTTGTGATGTCATGTGGTGATACAGGAAGAGCTCCACTGTGTTTTTAAACTCCACGCACCTTCACTAGAATCATTTTGTTCGACTCATTTCAGGCCTGGAACTGCCAATTTTCTCCACTGAACTAAAGTTAAAAGTAGCTGTTAACTTGAAAACTCCCACTTGGAAAAGCATTTTGAGCTTTTTTTTGTTATGACATGAATTACAATCATTGAATGAACTCCCACTCCCCAGCACGAACACAAATCATGCAAAAATTCATCACCTCACACATCTAAGAAACAATTATTATTATTAAGAAACTTTGTGGAAGTAGACTGACCAGAGCATTTACAACTTGGAGATGTAGACAGACTAATAATAAAGAGTTACTCAAACGTGTGTGAATGAAACAAAACACAACTCCAGGTCTGTTTTTGAGGAGGAAACAACATTATAACACGACTTAAAGCCCACAAGAGTCAGAGTTTTCCATTTTGCATCATATAGAGCTTTAAAACTACTTGGACGATTTAAACTTTAAAGTAAACAACTACTATTTCTTCGCCCATGTGTATTTTATAATAAGTTTAATGCCGTACTGTGGAACATTCAAGGCAAAGCACAAACAAGCAGGAAGACTCACAAATTTTCACTGAAAATTTGTATAATCTAATAAGTAAAAATGATAAAATGCACTACTTTGTATTTTATATGGCAAACTGGAAGATTTGTGTTTTTGCATAATGTAAAAAAAAAAGAAATACCGACCTTTAATATATTTCTGGCATCAAAAGCTTCTCTCGCGTTCACGGGTTTTCCTCCTGAAGAGCCTGAACCTTCAGCTGAAAAAGAAAAAAAACACAAAAAAAACATGTATTTCAATATTAAAGGGTGCAGGTGATTTTTTATTTTATTTTTTCCATCAAAAGATAATTTCACATTCCAGCCGAGATTCGTTAAAATGTCTGAGATAAACGTGAAAGGTGAAAAGTAATAATAACAATAATCAGGAAGTGTGTGTTTAGCATGCTAGTTGTTGTTGTTATCATCCAATAATCAGGAAGTTTGTGTTAGCGTGCTAGTTGTATTATTGTCCCATAATCAGGAGGTGTGTGGTCAGCGTGCTAGTTGTTGTTACTGGCCAATAATCAGGAAGTGTGTTATCTTGCTAGTTGTTCTTATTGTCCCGTAATCAGGAAGTGTGTGGTTAGCGTGCTAGTTGTTCTTAAAAATAATCAGGAAGTGTGTGTTAGCCTGCTAGTTGTTGTTATTGTCCAATAATCAGGAAGTGTGCAGTTAGCAAGCTAGTTGTTGTTACTGGCCAATAATCAGGAAGTGTGTAGTTAGCGTGCTAGTTGTTCTTACTGTCCAATAATCAGGAAGTGTGTTATCCTGCTAGCTGTTCTTATTGTCCCGTAATCAGGACGTGTGTGGTTAGCGTGCTAGTTGTTGTTACTGTCCAATAATCAGGAAGTGTGCAGTTAGCAAGCTAGTTGTTGTTACTGGCCAATAATCAGGAAGTGTGTAGTTAGCGTGCTAGTTGTTCTTACTGTCCAATAATCAGGAAGTGTGTGTTAGCTTGCTAGTTGTTGTTGCTGTCCAATAATCAGGAAGTGTGTGTTAGCCTGCTAGTTGTGCTATTGTCCAAAAATCAGGAAGCGTGTGTTAGCCTGCTAGTTGCTGTTATTGTCCCATAATCAGGAAGTGTGTGGTTAGCATGATAGTTGCTGTTACAGTTCCTGATTATGGGACAATATGTTAGCATGCTAGTTGCTGTTACTGTCCCATAATCAGGAGGTGTGTGTTAGCCTGCTGGTTGTGTTATTGTCCAATAATCAGGAAGCGTGTGTTAGCCTGCTACTTGCTGTTATTGTCCCATAATCAGGAACTGTATGTTAGCATTCTAGTTGCTGTTATTGTCCAATAATCAGGAAGTGTGTGTTAGCGTGCTAGTTGCTGTTATTGTCCAATAATCAGGAAGTGTGTGGTTAGTGTGCTAGTTGTTGTTACTTAAAAAGAACTGGCTCCGTTTTTCACCTTTAAGGGCCTGTTTACATGAAAAAAACAACAATATACATATTTTATCGGAAGTGCCTTTCGTTTAGACGGTGACGGCGTTTTTGGGGCTTAAAAACGCAAAAATCTGAAACCACCCTCCAGAGTGTAAAAATTGAATACTCCCCGCAGTAGCATTTCTGTTTACACGGACCAAGACGCAAAACTCTGGTCAGATCTGCTCACGTCGCGTACACGTTTACGTCACATACAAACAGTACACACAAACCTGGCATGCAAACCCAATCGAATTCCACACACTTTCTGCGTCACCGTGTGCACGCAGATTTTCCTCCCGAAAACACTCGTCTAAACGCGGAATAAAAAGTGAAGACGCGACGCCACTTAGCCGCCGTCACATAAACGTAGACTTAAAATGATCCACATGATTCTAGCGAAGGTGTGTGGAGTTTAAAAACACACTGGAGCACTTCCTGCGTTACATCACAAGGTGGAGCGGGGTGTTTTCTGTTTGAGAGAAGAAGTAAATAAGCGTAAATGTGCAGGGTTTGTGTGTTAAACATGCGCGAGTGAAACAAAAACACAGCTCCAGGTCTGTTTGTGACGAGGAAACCGCATTATAACAGAGACGAGCTGAATCTGGGCCTTTAAATCCTCTGGACGCGGTTGATAACAGTGATTGTGTTTTGGCTCTGGAGTCAGCAGTGTCCTGTTCTCTCCTGTTTATTTAAACCACAGACAAAATGAATGGAGCCTTTTGTGACGGAGAGAAAACATGAGAGAGAGAGAGAGAAAGAGAGAGGGAGGAGAGAGGAGAGAGGGGAGAGGAGGTCAACTGAACAGAGAGGAGAGGGGGAGGGAGGAGAGGAGAGGAAGAGAGAGCGAGAAGAGTGCGAGGGAGAGAGCAGAAAGAGAAGAAGAGAGAAGAGGAGAGGTGGCGGGAGTGAGGAGAGAGAGGAGTGAGAGAGAAGAAGAGAGGGAGAGGAGGAGAGAGCGAGAGAGAGAAGAGAGGGGAGAGAGGAGAGAGAGAAGAGGAGAGAAAGAGAGAGGAGAAGGGAGAGAAGAAGAGAGAAAGAGGAGGGGAAGAGAAGAAGAGAGGAGAGGTGAGAAAGAGGAGGGGGAGAAGAAGAGAGGAGGAGAGAGAGAGGAGAGAGAAAAAGAGAGGAGGAGGAGAGGCGGGAGGAGAGAGAGAGAGAGAGGGAGAGAGGAGAGAGGAGAGAAGAGGAGAGAAGAGGCGAGAGAGAGAGAGAGAGAGAGAGAGAGGAGAGAGAGGGGAGAGAGAGGAGAGAGAGAGAGAGGAGAGAGAGAGAGAGGAGAGAAGAGAGAGAGAGAGAGAAGAGAGAGAGAGAGAGAGGAGGAGAGAGAGAGAGAGAGAGAGAGAGAGAGAGGAGAGAGAGAGAGAGAGAGAGGAGAGAGAGAGAGAGGAGAGAGAGAGAGAGAGAGAGAGAGAGAGAGAGAGAGGAGAGAGAGAGAGAGGAGAGGAGGAGAGGAGAGAGAGGAGGGAGAGAGAGAGGAGGAGGAGGAGAGGGAAGAGAGAGGAAAGAGAAAGGAGAGAGGAGAGAAGAAGAGCGGGAGAGAGAGAGAGGAGAGAAAGAAAGAAAGAAAGAAAGAGAGGAGAGGGGAGAGAAGAGCAGAGGAGGAAAGCGACAGAGAGCGGAGAGGAGATAGAGAAAAGGGGAGGGGAGAGAAGAGAAAGACAGAGGAGAGGAGAAGAGAGAGAGAAATAGAGGGGAGGAGGAGAGGTGGAGGGAGGGAGGAGAGAGAGAGGAGGGGGAGAGAAGAAGAGAGGAGGAGAGAGGGGAGGAGGAGAGAGAGGAGAGAAGATGATTGGAGTAGAGAGAGAGGGGAGAGAAGAGAAAGAGAGAGAGGAAAGGAGAACAGAGAGAGAGAGAGAGAGAGAGAGAGGAGAGGGCGAGGGAAGAGAGAGTAAGGGCAGCGGGAGAGAGAAGAGGAGAGAGGGGAGAGAAGAGGAAGAGAAAGAGAGAAGTGGGGGAGGAAGGAGAGAGAGGAGAGGGGAGAGAAGAGAACGAGAGAGGAAAGGAGAAGAGAGAGAGAAAGAGAGGAGAAGGGAGGCGGTAGAGAGGGGAGAAGAGGAGAGAAAGAGAAGAGGGGAGAGAAGAAGAGAGAGAGGAGGAGGAGAGAGAGAGAGAGGAGAGGAGAGAGAGAAAGAGAACAGAGAGAGAGAGAGAGAGAGAGAAGAGAGAGAAGGAGAGAGAGAGAGGATGAGAAAGAGAGGAGAGGGGAGAGAGAAGAGAGAGAGAGAGAGAGAGAGGAGAGAGAGAGAGGATGAGAAAGAGAGGAGAGGGGAGAGAGAGAACGAGAGAGAGAGAGAGAGAGAGGAGAGAGAGGAGAGACAGAGGAGAGAAGGCGAGCAAGAGAGGGAGGAGAGGGGGTGGGAGGAGAGAAAGAGGAGAGGTGTGGAAGGGGGGGAAGAGTGGTGAGGGGAAGAGAAGAGAAGAGAAAGAGAGAGAGTGAGAGAAGGTGACGAGAGGGGGAGAGAGTGAGAAAGGGAGAGAACAGAACAGGGGAGGAAGGAGAGGAGAGAGGGAGACAGGGAGCTGGAAAGCTAGAGAAAGAGGAGGAGAATAAGAGAGAGAGAGATGTTATGCAGAGAGAGAGAGGGAGAGGAGGGAGAGAAGGGAACATCGAGCGATTTTACGTCAGTGTTTTTGGACAGAAAGAGAAGGAGAGAGAAAGAGAGAACGAGAAAGTGGCGTGATGAGAGGGGAGAAAAGTGTGAGTCATATGAGAGAGAGAGAGAGAGGGAGGGAGGGTAAAGACAAAAAAATGGTAGAGAGAGAGAGAGAGAGAGAGACGGGGGGAAAGGAGGAGGAGGAGAGACAGAGAGCGAGTCAGTTGTTTTTAATTGTCAACAGGGAACATAGAGAGGTTTTGCGTCAGTGTTTTTCGGACCAGTCTGAACCAGAACAAAACAACAGAGAGAAACAGGAACAGAGAGAGAAAGAGAGAGAGAGAGAGAGAGACGGGGGATAGAAAGAGGGAGTGTAAAGAGAGGGAGAGAGAAAGAGGAGAGAGAGAGAGAGAAAAAAACCATTGTGAAACAGTAAAGTCATTGGGGGTCAGTGTATTTTTACAGTTGTGGATTTTGGTCACGTCGAAAAAAAAAAAAAACAGTGTGACGTAGAAAAGGTCCAGAAATCAATAATTATTTACTCTTTAACAAATAGTTCAGCTGCTAAAAATCTAGAATAAAGAGTAAAAACAAAAATAAAAAAATGTTAGTCTGGAATGTTCTGCAGTATAACATTAAAAAGATCATTCTATTACAGGTGGTTTTATTGCTCAAAAATACCAAGAAAAACAGGGATTCTGGGTCGCCTCTCCACAGATTTGACCTGTAACTTGGTCCGGTTTGGTCTCAGTGAAGATACAAAGGTTTAATGCCATACTGTGGAACATTTCAGACGACGACGTAACGGAGCTTCCTGGTTCACGGACAATAAACATGTATAATTAGATGCAGAAAGCGCGCAACGGACTTGTTTTGGTTACCTCAAGAGCCGGGGCAGACACATTCGGTTTGGTCTAGTTTAGTCCCGGTTAGTCCCAGTATTCCATCAAAGTACCTTAACAAATCCGGGCTTATCCTTAAATCCTGAGCTTAATCTAGTTCCATCTTTATCTTAAGCCTCGAGTCGTTCCATGACGTAAACTTAATCTGGGTCTGACCAAAGCTAAACTCAGGCCTGTTTCAGCTGTGCTTTGTGCGTGCGCTCGCGGTGACTCCGAGAAGGTCAACGGAGCAATGACATCACGGAAAATGAGCCAAAAATGTGCTGGTTTTTTTTTCACAATCTGACTAAATGAGAGAGGAGCCACGGCGCGCACCCACAAAGTTTGATTTGGGCCACAGAACTTTTCTGGTCGCTCCCCCTCCTCTCCTGTTCACTCGGCGGGTAAACAGGAGGCTGGCTGCAGAGTCTGGTTAATGTTCCCGGGGAATGAAGTTGCCTGACCCCTTCTCTATGTGCGGCAGTACGTGCGGATCTTAAGTTCCTCTGCAACGGACCTCCTGGCAAAAAACGATAAAATCCGCGACAACACGTTTGCAGTTTGACAGGGAGTGAGAGACGAGGGAATGAAGAGAAAGAGACAGACGTGATGAAGGAGCAAACAGACAGAACCAACAGTCATCCTCAGAGTCCAAACCAGCGTCTGTCTGTGTGTAAAAGCTGCACTGCCCCTCACAACAACCACATGTGCAACATCATTTGAACGAAATAATGGTCATAGACTTTTATGTGGTTTGTGCCTTTTTGATGAGTGCAGCGTCCACACACGTGTTTGTCCCGTGCGTAGGAGCATATGGACTGTAAAAATCTCAAATGACACGCGACTATAAATGTCACTTTTTAAACTGTATCACACAGAGACAGGTGTTCTGACACAGGTGTGTGAGTGCTGAAACTTTTGACTAAACTGTTTCTTTAGGCCAGGAGTCTCCAACCTTTTTCCTCAGGTGAGCTACTTTCACACAACGAAAATTCCAGGGAGCTACTAATTTTAGTGGTCACAGGAAATTAAGTATACATAAGAGCCATGACAAGACTTAGATGTGGTACAGTTAGATTAAATATAAAACATAAACCAATTTATGAATGATAGATTTACAATAATAATAGGCATTTAATTAATCAAATTTGAGTTATTCAGAACAATACGTGTAATTCAGAAATCCCTTGGAGAGCTACTTGGAAGGGGGTGGAGAGCTACTTGTAGCTCGAGCTACAGGTTGGACGTTGGATGTTCTTGGAGACAGAGCTAAAATACACTTGACAGTTCGTCTGATCCTGACCAGATTTGTTTCCGGGTGCTTGTTACAACTCAGGTCACCTCTGGTTTGTCACTTTGGTGGAACAGAACTGAGACTTAGATAAGCCTGGACTGGCCAAATAAGACAGGCTTTCGCTTTGGCTCGCTTCATGCACTACTCCCCTCATCTCATACCTGTGGAGTCTTTCCTGAACAGTGTGTTCATGACAGTCCCGTGGAGTTTGACTCTGTCCCATTCTCGAACCATCAGCCCCAAAGAGACAAAGTGCTCCACCAGACGATCGGCCAACACCTGCAGCCTAAAACACACAACACAGATCTTAATATACAAATACAACACACAACACAACACAGATCACAATATATATATACAAATACAACACACAACACAACCACAGACTATATACATACTTAATGTTAAAGCCACAGCTGTTTCCTCTACTATGTTTGTTTGCCTACTATGTTTAATTTATTTAAGTTATTTACCATAAATTCATATTTTATTCTTCCTTAAAACCAATTATAAAAATATTCTTCTTAAACTGATCTAAATGTTAAAATTAAGTATTTTCACATTCCTAAATTAAGTTATTTCAGTCAATTTAGGTCCTTTGTTTATAAAGTAAGAGGGCGGGAAATCTGCAAATAAACGAAGTGAAATGCACTATGGACTACGTGAGTTTTTGTATATTCATTTTGTGTGACACCCTAAAGATGGTTGTTTACATGTCTTGCAGCTAATGTTAAATTACAAGGGATAACAATTACAGACAGACCGATATATAGGTTGGATCGGCCGATATATTGTTTGCTATAATTTGGTGTTTTGGTTCTCAGAAAGCAGAATGAGCCTCACATGATTCTCTCATTTGTGTTGAAATCCAGTCGGCTTAAACCTAAAAAGACTCTAATCTGAATGTTCCCTCAATAAGCCTTGGCAAATAATATAATCTCACTTGTCAGATCCGTCCTTCACGTTGACTTTGGCGTACAGCACGTCCACCATGGCTGGGTCATCGTTCATGTACTCCACCCCTCTGACCTCCAGCTCCAAAGGTCTGCCTCCTGTGATCTCTCTGAACACAATGGCAAGATTAGACTTAAGATTTAACTTTTCCTTTGTTTTAAATTTACCCCTGCCCTTTAAATCATAGCGTGTACTTCTTGTGAACAGTTTGAAAACACATTCAGTGGTGCATTTTGGTGTTTTTCAGATTCTACAAAGAGAGTATGAGTCTTTTTTCCTGTTACATAACACAAACACACCCGAACATGGGAGTTTTTGTACCTGATGACGTCTTGACACAGCTGTAGTTGCTCACAGGCTTTCCTCACCTCCGCCTCGTTTAACAGAGCCAGAGTCCCCAGGGTGAGGTGCAGTTTGGACGGGTTCTGGAAGATACTGGCCTCCACCCCATGGTCCTGAAGTCAACACAAATATATTATAAACACACTAAATTACATAAATGTGGGCAATTATTTTTTCCATTTTCGAAACAGAAAATATTGTGAAGGGCCGAGCCAAAACGCTTAACTGGATTCTGCATAATATAAATTTTATTTCTTTATAAAAAGTAGTGAATATTATTGTTTTGACAAGCTGGTACCGTATTTTCCGGGCTGGATTTTAAGGCGCACTGTCAATGAATGGTCTATTTTTTTACTTTTTTCACAAATAAACCGCACCGGACTTTAAAGGAAACACAACAGTGTGATGGGTGAGTGGTTTTGTTTGTTTGTGTCATTCACGGTGACTCTGGGCTTTGTTCAGTTGTGGCGTGTAGGGAGGTGCTGTCTGGGACCAACGGATTGTCGGCGTGTTCGCAGTGATTCAGTTGTTCAGTCGTGTCTAGAAGTGGCACATTGCGCTCGCTTTTTCGGTTCGTTCCTCTGTTTCCGTTCCTCGTCGGCGTGGAGTGATGAGTGTGTCTGTGGGTGTTTTTCGCTGCGCGGTCGCTGTCTGCTCCGTGTGTGTTTGCGTGTTCTGCGGGTGGTGCGGCTTTGTAGTTTACTGAAGTCGTGCTGGGACACCCGAGTGGATTCGTGTTGAAGCTTGCGGGGCGCATGGTCGTTTTTTGATGGGGTTAGAGGCTTAAGAGTGCGTCTAATAGCCCGGAAAATACGGTAAGAGTTTATGTTATGACTAAGCAATGAAAAAGTGAAGTTGCCTTACAAAAAATGTCATCTCTAAAATAAAAGCAATGCAGCTTTAGTCCATGCATGAGGTAAAATTATAAAATAGGTTTATTTTGTAATTCCAAATGAGCTTAAACAGGCTGGTCGGAGTCAACCAAAGGTCCGTATGTGCCCTGGGAGCTGGACAATGCCCAGGTCTGCTTTATAGTAACTAGAAAATCTTAAATTATAGTTTCCAATAATCATAAATTTCCCTAATGACAAAAATAGTGAAAAAAAAAAAAAAAAAAGATCACATGAATTCAGAATCTGGGAACTACACCGGAAGTTGTCATCGCATGTTTCCCAAACGTCTTCCTGGTTTCTGATGTAAACGTGAATAAAGCCTATTGTATGGGAGATGCATTGTACAAAGCTCTACCACTGAACTGTTACCTGTGAGCATTTCTCCAAAACCTCGTCCTTAAACTTGAGGAAGCCGTCCTGGATCTTGGCGTCGTTCAGAGGGAGGGACAGGAAGTGAGTGAACGGCTGTTTCTTCCTGAAGCTGTCGATGAGAAGCTCCACTCGAGTCAGGGCCGACGAAACAGAAGCTCTGTGGGCTCCGGTGATCACTGAAACAGAAGGAAAACGCAGAAATTAGAACTGTTGCCATAGCGATTAGAAATTCGAAACAAAATATTATAGCTTTTGAATGTGGGCAGACGAGACAGAAGATTTATGAGCTCCGGTGATCACTGAAACTGAAGAAATACACACAAAAAAAGTAATATCCATGCGTCCAATAAAAAAAAAAAATCTATAAATAATAATATCCATGGGTCCAGATTGATGAGAATTTAGAACTGTTGCCATAGCGATTAGAAATTCCAAACAAAATATTGTAACTTTTGAACGTGGGCAGACGAGACAGAAGATTTATGAGCTCCGGTGATCACTGAAACAGAAGAAATACACACAAAATATCCAGAAAAAATCCTAGAATCATGAAAAATTAGGACTGTTGCCATAGCGATTAGAAATTCAAAACAAAATATTATTTCTTTTAGATGTGGGCAGACAAGACAGAAGATTTATGAGTTCCTGTGATCACTGAAACAGAAGGAATATACACAAAAATAGTAATAGCTATGTGTCCAATAAAAAAATTTTAAAAAAGAATAATATCCATGGGTCCAGAATGATGAGAATTTAGAACCGTTGCCATAGCGATTAACAATTCAAAACAAAATATTATAACTTTTTAATGTGGTTCAGATGAGACAGAAGATTTATGGGCTCCAGTGATCGCTGAAACAGAAGGAATACACACAAAAAAGTAACAGTAATGTGTTCAATAAAAATTTAAAAATAAAAAAAAAAAATCTGAATAATGAGAAATTCGAACCGTTGCCATAGCGATTAGAAATTCGAGACAAAATATTATAACTTTTGAACGTGGGCAGACGAGACAGAAGATTTATGAGCTCCTGTGATCACTGAAACAGAAGGAATACACACTAAATATTATCCATGGCGCTAGAATAATGAAAAATGAGGACCGTTGCCATGGCGATTAACAATTCAAAACAAAATATTATGTCTTTTCAATATGGGCCGACGAGACAGAAGATTTATGAGCTTCGGTGATCGCTGAAACAGAAAGAATACACACTAAATATTCAGAAAAAAAATCCTAGAATGATGAAAAATGAGGACCGTTGCCATAGAGATTAACAATTTAAAACAAAATATTAGATTTTCTGAATGGGTAAAAAAGTCGTACCAAAGAATAGAAAATTTCACGTTTGTTAAAGGTGCACTTTGTAACTTTTTTGGCAGTGGGTCTGCAAACTCCTGGTCTCCATGGAGATCGCTTTGTCAGAAATATTCCACTGTAAAATTAAACATAATTCCGATCTTGCGTGTATTCATTTTAGGTGTTGTTATTGCTAAAAAAAAAAAATAAAAAAAAAAAATTGTAAACTATACATCCTTACTGTGAGCTGGGTCGCCTCTCCATAGATCTGATCTGTACCTTTGACTGCATCCCCTGAGATAATTTTAATGTCATACTGTGGAACATTCCAGGGAAAAACATAAGCAACAGGGGACCCTTCTCCAGAAAAGTTACGTAGTGTACCTTTAAACGTTATACTTTTTGAATATGATTTTAAATTAGTAGTAAATATTAAGTCTTTTATTCCTTTTCTTCTCATTATTCTTCTTATTCTTGCTGGGGTAAGAGCTCCTCGTGGATCTACTTACCCAAGCTGCAAAACACACAAGATTAACAGTTCTATTTGTGGTTGCTTTTTGGCCACATTTTGACAGCTTTTTTGTGAACGTTCACTTACTCCACTTCTAAAAATAAAACAGCAACTATGTAAATAATGACTGTTGTACTTCCTCTGACAGATTGTGCATGCATTTTGTCACATACAAGTAAACTATAAAACAGTGCAATGTTCAAAATAACTAAATAACCTTTTAACAGACTTTAAAATCAGCTGGGGAGTGCTTTGTGGATGTGAAGTTGTATAAAATAAAACTTTGTAAGCTAATAGTCCATCCTAAACAGACAGGAAAGTCATCTATATTTTCTATTAAAATAGTGTTGTAGTACTCGAGACCAGTCTTGGTCTTGAGACTGGCCTTGAGATTGCTTTTTTGCGGTCTTGGTCTTGTCTCGGACTCAACCATGCTTGGTTTTGTCTCGGTTTCGAGGTCTGACACAAGTGATAAAATTGAGATAGATTTATAAAAACATTGATATAAATGTGCCAAAATAATTGTAAAATACAAATAAATGTCGAAAATTACAAAGATGGTCTCGACTTGGTCTCGATGGGCCGTGGTCTTGGTCTTCTCTCGATCTCGGGACCCCGTGGTCTTGGTCTAGATTAGTGCGGTCTTGACTACAACACTATATTAAAGCATATATTCTAATTAGATTTCATACAGTTAGACTAACTATGATAAAGTGGAGAAGTACTAAAGACACACACTAGGCATCAAACTGTCACTTGGTATGCCCATTGGTCTCCCATTGCTACGCAAGTTTCAGATGACATCACAACTTTCTCTGTCTAATCGTATTTAATACAGAGCAGCAAGATGTTGTTGTTGTTGTAACAGAGTGAATTCTCAGGTTTAGTGACTAATAGAAATGATCAGGTTCATCATTTGTGAGTTAAACTTTTGGATATTTCATGGCAAAGTGCAATGTTACTAATAAGAAAAACTGACCCTTGCTCCCCATTTGAGACATCATCACATCTAGAATTTTAAAACTACCTATACAAGTCCTAACCAGGCCCAGCCCTGCTCAGCTTCAGAGATCTGATGAGATCAGGCTTTGACAAGCCTGTGTGGCCACGGGAGAAGAGAAGTGTACAATCTTGTGTTCAAATTCTCACCTATTTGTCCCTCCACTCCTTGTTTGGGGATGCTGATGTTAGTTTTCGTATCATACTCCAGTCGTCTGCGAGTTTCTCCCTTTTTTCCAATGATATATCTGAAGAAAAGAAACACAACTTGTTAAAAATACTCCAAATTTAGTCGCGATATTGGACATTTTTGAGAATGGCTTTTAAGAACTGCAAATAATTTTGGGGATATATGAATATACTTCAGTAAGATTTTCTTTCTTTCTGTATTCAAACTAAAAAGTACATTTTTTTATTTACTAGTGAAAAATAAAACTAGGACTAAATCATGGGAAAATGTAGGCTCAGATCACTTTAATTAATAAAATCAGCTTTATTTGCATATTCTTTAAAAAAAAAAAAAAAAAAAAACAGTGCATTTTTGTCAGATAGACAATGTTGGTGTTAATGCAATTGAGTCTGTTGCCATATCAATTCTTGAGTCAGCCAGTACTGCAGTTTTTAATTTTTTGTGACATAAACTTCCTTAACTTTCTTAGTACTCACTTGTAGAGGACACTGGGCACGTCTATGGCACAGCGGAAACCTTTCTCTGTTTGTTCGATGGAGTGAGTGTCACAGCTCTCGTCTTCAGCCAGGTCTTCAGACTCTGTGCATTTAAACAGGCAAAAAACAGAACATTTAATTTAGGTTTTCTTTATACTTTTGGTGAGAGTGGCATAGAATTAATCGGTAAACACATACTGTATCTTTATTTCTTTTTGGCGAGTCTATATACACAATTTAACATCAAGATCCACTTAATGCAAGCATATATTAGTTAGACAAATGGATTTTTATTAAGAAATGTCATCATCCAATAGAAACAAAATATAATTATAACATTTAAAGCTTAAGTAAACAGTGTACCATCACGATACAACAACAAACACACATTAATAGTCAAGTAGTAGTCATTTAGTAAGTAAGTTTTAAACAACAGAAAAATAATACACTGAGAAAAATAATATACTTAAGAATTTCAAACCATAATTTCAAAATAAAAAACTGGGACACTCTCGGTTTGTGGTGGTTGGTAATAATAAAACTGTGAGGAAACGTAAGGAAAATTGTTATGCACTGAGTGAGTCAGTATAGTCACATTTTCTTTTCTTTTTTTTTTTTTGGTCGTTTTAAAGCAGCTTTTCTGTATTTTACTTAAACAGATGACAATTTATGCCTCTTTTTACTCTTGGCAGGGATCAGATTGGTCAAAAATAAGAACACCTGAGACATTTCTTGTATAAAACTGGGACAAATCAATGGTTTTGGGTAAACCTGCTGGGACAGGGGACACAGGGCTCAAAACTGGGACTATCCTGGGTCATCCTAAACTAGAATAGTGATTTTAAATGAATGAGTCAACTATAATATAAATATCACTTTACCCTATTTATTTCTGTTAACAGCCACAATAAAGAAAGCAAAGCCACCAAAGCTACCACCAGACTCATCATATACAATAGTTGGACTCACCTGGTGGTCCCACGTAGGAAAACTCCTCTTCCTCCTCATACTGTTCTTCTTTAATCACATTTCTGCGATATTGTCTGCCATTTATGATTACAAGTTGTGGACGTAAAACCTCCATTATAACAACAAAGTAGCTCAATACAGGTAGACAGGAATGGAATAATAAATTTTAAACAGCAGACAGCTAATATTTAATACCAAAAAATGCTTAGATTAATTAGTTTTTGATTTAGAAAGTTACTTAGCAGCTGCAGCATGGCTTGGTCCTGTAAATGTTGACGTTTATCTCCTGTGAATGTTGCTTTACGATAATTTACAAATCTCCAAATAATCTGGATGACGCGTTTATGTGATTTTACCGTATTCCGTATTACTTGTATATCTTCGAACGTAAATCGTTTTTCTGTCGCAAACCATTCGTCGAACCCAAACAAATAAGTGAAACTACTTCGTGGATAATTGTAGTTTTTTGCATTTTTAGGCTTTGACGGTAAGTTTTATATCTTTGGACTTGTTTTTAAAGCGATATGACATTAGTGGTACTTCTATTTGCGCTTCATCTCTGTCTATAGTTGCCAAATTTGGACTGTTTTGTTGTTAGCTTTCACTGCAGCATCTCGCCATTAACACAGAATGGAGACGCTAACTAGGCTAAAGCTAATGTATTTAACACGCGCGCCCATTTGCGTTAACGTGATTATTTTGGGGCGTAACTCGGACAGTGCCTCTTAAATCTAATTCTGTGTGTTTACATTGTGCTCCAGGGATGGCCGCCTCTTCGTCCTCGTCCTCTGCGGGGGGAGTGAGTGGCAGCTCGGTCACAGTTTCTGGGTTTAGCGCCTCGGATCTGACACCTCCGAGAAAAGTGCTGTTCACGTACCCCAAAGGATCCGGAGAGATGATGGAGGGTAAACAACTTATTATAGACCGATCAATGAGTCATGTCTCTTGTTTTTAAATTAGTACGTCTATCTCAAATTCTTAGATCATTTTGCAAGATTTACTATGCATAAAGAAAGTTTTAGCTGTGATTGCTTTTTCCTGGTTTTATATAACATTTTAACTACAGTTGTCTCTTGAAATTGAGGAGTAGAGGCATTGAAAATGAGGCTGAAAACAATAGCTGCTTGCTTCATTGTTAGGGCTGGGTATCATTAAGAAGTTGCCGATATGATACATACCACGATACAGTGCAGTTTCGATTCAATACGATATATTTCAAATCAATTTGATTCAATTCAATAAAAAATAAAGGCTAAATCATGGCTGTGATACTAAAATTCTTTGTTAAACCACTTCTTGTGCAAAGTTCATATGAAACACAAACATTTTAATAATCAAAACAGTGAAAATGTCAAACGAGTGTCCTTCCTCTAAACAAGGAACAAAACTGTAGCGCTGTAACAAAATACTTTGGTAAAATATTCAAAAAAATACTCCTGGCAATATATTGATACAGCAGTCACTATACTGATATTGTGTCATCACATTAAATGATACAGTATATATCGATATTTCAATATTTTTGCACACCCCCTATTCATTGTCCAGATACGTCTTGAAGGCAGTTTGAAACTGTAGTGGGCAAGAAGCTAAAAATTATTTTCTTGTAGCTTGATTAAGGTAACCATAGGTCCCTATTTACTTAGGACAGTCCCAATTTGGTCCCCTGTCCCAGCAGATTTATCTAAAATCACTGATTTGTCCTAGTTTTATACAAGAAATGTCCCAAGTGTCCCTATTTTGGACGAATCTGATCCCTGTTAACAGTGAAGAGAGACATACATTGTCATATGTTTAAGTAAAATACAGAAAAGCTGCTTAAAAACAGCCAAAACACAAAGAAAATGTGACTGTACTGACTCACATTAGTGCCGAGTGCAGAACAATTTTCCTTAATTACACTCTTGTTTCAGAATTTTATTATTACCAAGCAACCTAAACCAGGTATGTCCCAGTTTTTTATTTTGAAAATCTGGTCACCTTAAGCCTGATGATACTGATTTCATAACAATCACAGTGTGTGCATTATAAAATCTGTTCTAGGACAGGAGTTGTCCTTGAATTGATCATTAAGATTTCTTTTAATAAAACAAATATTCTTTTAAAAACTGCACTGTCTAACCACAGAATGCACCTTTAAGAAGAGCCAAAAAATACATAAAATCCAAAACACACAGCTGATCATTGAGCATTTGAAATGACTGAATTTCAATCTCGAGTAAAATTTGAATAATACTAACATACATGAACATTCACACAGACGGTGGCTCCCTCTTTTCTGCATCACTCAAGGAAAAACCAAAACTAAAACACAAAACTACCCATGCCAGTCCATTTTTCCCATAATCAGGGAATAATTTAGCTCCATAAAATCCTCCAAAATGTGATCTGAACTCTGCTCCAAAGCACACAGCTGATCATTGAGCATTAGAAATGACTGAATTTCAATCTGGATTAAAATTTGTATAAACTCTTCCACCTAATGTCATCACAAGGTGGACCCAAACTCTGTAAAGGGAGATAAACTAAACAATATGCGAAGCTGCATTACTGAACCATGCATTTATGACACAAAACACAACTCCAGATACACTCAAGTAACTTTATAACACTCAGAAAAGACCGTTTCACATAATATAAGAGCTGTAACTAAAGGGTGTGTTTGTACTGTAACACAATCTAACCTTTTGTTTCATGTACAGTGAAAATTACAGCTTTAAGAATCCAGAGCGCATATTTTCACTAAATGTTCTTGGACTTTGTGCAAAAACATCACGCGGCGTCTCTGCTGTTTATTGAGGAAAGTTGGAGCAGATTCTTGTGGAGCAAACAGAATATTTGTCATACCATCTGCTGCTGGACAAGAGAGACGGGGAGAGAGAGAGAGAGAGACGACGAGGGAGGAGAGAGGTGGAAGAAGAGGTGGAGGTGTGGGAGAGAAGAGAGAGAGAAAGAGGAGAGGGGGGAGAAGACGGTATAGGAGAGAAGAGGGAGGAGAGACGGAGGAGGGAGTGAGAAGAGAGAGAGAGGAGAGAGCATAGAGAGAGAAGAAGAGGTAGAAAGGAGAGAACAGGTGGAGAGGAGAGAGAAAGAAGAGAGGGAGGATGTGGGGGAGGGAGGAGAAGAGAAAGAGAGGGAGCAAAATGAAGGAGGAGGAGAGTGAGAAGAGAGAAAAGAGAGAGAGAGGGAGAAGAGTCAGTGAGCGTGAGAAAAGGTGGAGGAGAGGAGAGAGGGAGTAGAGAGAGGGAAGACAGAGAGAGGAGGAAAGTGGGAGAAGAAGCGAGAGAGTGAGAGTGAGGAGAGGTGGAGGAGAAAGGGAGGAGGTGAAACACACTTAAAACTCTGCCAGGACTTCAGAGGGACTTTTCATTTTCTTTTATCAGACAAGACATTATGTGAAGATTTTCTCGTCTTTGCTTCTCTACAGCAAATCAAGTAATCCAAAGTATTCAGATTACGTTACTCACTTTAAGTAATTTAATGGATTACGTTACAAACTACATTTTGGTGTGTGTAATCTGTAATCTGTAGGGGAATACATTTTAAAAGTAAACTTCCCAACACTGTTCATCCAAGAGGCTCCTTCACTTCTGACCGGGTTCTGCTCCGTCACTGCCTTTTAAGTCTGCCTGCAGGGGGCGCTAACTGCACTGAAACGAACACAAGCAAGTTGTTTACTGCAAGAAGTTTCTATAATTAGTGAATTGTTGAAGTCTATTGAAGGTGTGAACTGTCCGTGACTCATATTTTTTCATAATCGTTCTTCGCTCTTTAGTTACGCAAAATAAATATGACTCAGGTGATTTAGAGAAATGACTGCCTTTGTGTTCTGATAATTACAGACGTTTAAATAGCTTTTCAATTGTGATTAATTGTGCAATGTCTAATCATGTGATATAATATTTGTGAAGGGAAAAAAACAATTTGGACGCAATATTTTCAGAAGATCTTGTCCCATGTTACGTAAAATGAACTCTTGTGAGGTTTAAGTCGTGTTATAACGTTGTTTCCTCCTCAAAAATAGACCTGGAGTTGAGTTTTGTTTCATTCACACATGTTATCTACATCTTCAAAGCTCAAAATGCTCTGTTCCACCTTGTGATGTCATGAAGTGGTAGTTTTTCAAGTTAACAGCTTCTTTTTTTAGCTTTAGTTCAGTAGAGAGCGTCAGTTCCAGGGCTGAATTGATTCTAGTGAAGGTGTGTGGAGTCTGAAAACACAATGGAGCACTTACTGTATTACCGCATGACATCACAAGGTGGAACAGAGTGTTTTATGTTTGAAAAAAGCACATTTAGGATTTAGAATTCAAGATTTGTGTGTTAAACATGTGTGAATGAAACAAAAAAATCTTAACTCCAGTATGTTTATGATGAGGAAACAACATTATAACATAGCAAATTGTGTAATATGGGCCCTTTAAACTAAATACAGGATTCCCACGGTCATGGAAGTCCTGAAAAAGTCATGGAAATTTAAAATGTCATTTTCCTGGCCTGGAAAACTCATGGAATTTTAGTATCTATTAGCCCTAAAAGCCCTAAAAGTCAATTCTACACATGTAGGTGCTGTAAGGTTACGGAAAATTCACTTTAGGTCATGAAAAAGTCATGGACAAGTTTTGAAATTTGGTCAGTGAAAAAGAGTGAGAACCCTGTAAATATACTGTAACTTGTGTGCACTTTATGGCTGCAAAACTGAGACAATTTGAAATGTTGTAAAAAATTATCTAAGCACAAATGCTGCTATTTATGTAACTGGTTTAGTCCTGGTGTAGTCCTGGGTTAGACCTGGTTTAGTCCTGTTTTAGTCCCGGTTTAGTCCTAGTTTAGTCCTTGTTTAGACCTGGTTTAGTTCTGGTTTAGTTCTGGCTTAGACCTGGCTTAGACCTTTAGACCTGGTTTAGACCTGGTTTAGTCCTGGTTTAGTCCTGGTTATCCTGGTTAGAGTAGTCCTGGTGTAGTCCTGGTGTAGTCCTGGTGTAGTCCTGGTTTAGTTCTGGTTTAGTTCTGGCTTAGACCTGGCTTTAGACCTGGTTTAGACCTGGTTTAGACCTGGTTTAGTCCTGGTTTAGTCCTGGTTTAGTCCTGGTTTAGTCCTGGTTAGTCCTGTAGTTCTGGTTAGACCTGGTTTAGTCCTGGTTTTAGTCCTGGTTAGTCCTGTCCTGGTTTAGTCCTGTTAGTCCTGGTGTAGTCCTGGTTTAGTTCTGGTTTAGTTCTGGTTTAGTTCTGGCTTAGACCTGGCTTAGACCTGGTTTAGACCTGGTTTAGTCCTGGTGTAGTCCTGGTTTAGTCCTGGTTTAGACCTGGTGTAGTCCTGGTTTAGTCCTGGTGTAGTCCTGGTTTAGTCCTGGTTTAGTCCTGTTTAGTCCTGGTTTAGTCCTGGTTTAGTCCTGGTGTAGTCCTGGTGTAGTCCTGGTGTAGTCCTGGTTTAGTCCTGGTTTAGTCCTGGCTTAGTCCTGGCTTAGTCCTGGTTTAGTCCTGGTTTAGACCTGGCTTAGTCCTGGCTTAGTCCTGGTTTAGTCCTGGTTTAGTCCTAGTTTAGTCCTAGTTTAGTCCTGGTTAGTCCTTTAGTCCTGGTTTAGTCCTAGTTTAGTCCTAGTTTAGTCCTGGTTTAGTCCTGGTTCAGTCCTGGTTTAGTCCTGGTTTAGTCCGCCATCACAGTTTAAGTCACATAAACAGGAAACGGCCATTATCTGTTTTTTTCCATTTTTCATTTAAACACAAATTCGAAAACTGAAAAAACAAATTCATTATCTGTTTTTTTTCATTTTGGTTTTGGAGACAAATAATGAAGAAAATTGTTGCTTTTTTCATTTTCTTTTTTTTAGTTTTATATTGAAAAACAAATGAACGAATGATACACGGATTATTACTGACAGGACGTATTATTTATCCATTATCCGTATGTCCTGTCATTAAATCATATCATCATCTCCATGGAGACGAGCAGCTGAAGGACCCTCCTCTTGAGATGTTACATAGTGCAGCTTTAAATAACAGCCTCCGCAAAACCACAAAAACATCCCGTCTCCGGTGTTGTTGATTACGTCCATCAGAAAAATGAATGAAGACAGTGTTTTAATCTGACCTTTAACGAAAACACATCTCGGCTCTGTCCTTTCACTTCCTGTTTGTGAACGATTTTTTCCCCCACACACTTTGAATCACCCGTTTATTCTACGGTTGGATAATGTCTCTAATAATGTGCCGCTCCTTTTGAATGAAATTTGGTTATGAAACGGTAATGCTATTATTTTATTTCTTCTTTTTCCAGATGGCTCAGATAGATTTCTCTGTGAATCCGTGTTCAGTTATCAAGTGGCCTCGACGTTAAAACAAGTCAAACATGGTAAGACAATATAAAAATAATGGTATACAAAAGGGCTGAACGATACATTGTTTTGGGAGCATTAAAGTTGCGGTTTTTTTTTGTTGTTGTTTTTTTTCAATCAAAAGCTGAGAGTGACTAATTTTATGTGAGAAAGACTCTTCTGCTGCATCAGATCTTCATGGTCAGATTGTACCTCAAATTTCTCTGATTTTAAAACTTATATCATCTTATTTGTCTTGTTTTCAGATTTATTTTCTACTTAAGAGTTTTGAGATGCTTAATTCTAGTCTAGAGGTAGTTTATTTTAAGATAACTTATCACGTAAAATGATTTTGCTGCATGGACAGATAATTTTACTACATTTATCATGTCATTTTCTGATAGATTTAAGTGTTTTTATCTTCAATTTCGGCCAAGGTTTTTTGCAGTGTGTGTCAGAATAAAGCTCAGATTAAAGTTTAATTTGAGTAACAGAGCTTCAGGCAGAGTAGTGCCTCCAGTTAGTGTCATACCCCCCGGGGAAACTTGACGACATCAGCCGCAAAGTAATGCTGTGTTTCAGATCACCACGTTCTATCAAATCACCAAAGTGCCAAAAAATTTTAAAAATTGACCCGTTCATACGTTTTTTAGGTTTAGAAATCAGCTTTTTAGGTTTAGAAATCATGACGTCACGCTAGAAATCATGACATCACACTCGGGAATTCAATAACCGTTACCTAGCAACCACATAGTACACTGGACAAAAACTCCTATCGCATTCATCATATTATTCATCTTGTTTTCAGTTTTATTACGACTTAAAAGTTCTGAGATGCTTAATTCTAGTCTAGAGGTTGTTTATTTTACAGTAACTTGTTACGTAAAATGATTTTGCTGCACGGACAGATAATTTCACTACTTTTAAGTCATTTTCTGTTACATTTAAGTGTTTATATCTTAAATGTTGGCCAAGTTTTTTGCAGTGTGCGTTACGACATCAGCTGCAAAGTCTTAGTAGAATGTAGTGATCTGAAACAGAGCATTAAAGTGGCAAAACATGTTAAAAAAAATTGCCTCGTTTGGCTGTTTTTTACTTTTAGAAATCATGACATCACACTCGGGAATTCAGTAACAGTTACCTAGCAACCATGTAAGTACACTGGACAAAAACTCCTATCACATTCATCATATTATTCATCTTATTTTCAGATTTATGATCTGTTCTGAGATGTTTAATTCTAGTCTAGAGGTCGTTTATTTTACGATAAATTGTCAAGTAAAATGATCTTGCTGCATGGACAGATAATTTTACTATATTTAAGTCGTTTTAAGTGTTTATATCTTTAATTTTGGCCAAGTTTTTTTGCAGTGTGTATTACGGGATCAGCTGCAAAGTGTCAACAGAATCTGCTGATCTGAAACACAGCATTAAAGTGCCAAAAAATGTAAAAAATTGCCCAGTTCGGCAGTTTTTTATGTTTAGAAATCAATTTTTTAGGTTTAGAAATCATGACATCACACTAGAAATCATGACATCACTCTCGGGAATTCAATAACTTTTACCTAGCAACCACGTAGTACACTGGGCAAAAACTCTTCTAATGTACACAGAAATTATTATTTAAACAAATAAATAAATAAAACTGTAAGAAAATAAGTTTATCTTGGTTAAATTATTGTTTACGTATCAGAAAAAATGTGTGGAAAATTACGGCAAATTTTTGGACACAATAGAACTCTCTACTTTCTTTAATTTTTGACGTATTTTTCAGCTTTTCTTCGCAAACCGCTTCTTAAATCAGCGTAAAACTATAATTTATGTTTGCAACAGGTTTTATCCCACCAAATTAAGTGAAAATTTGAGAATCGTAAAAGCCTGTCATACACGCACTTTAAACTAACATTGAATTACTAAATGAAATGGAATTAAATTACAAATACATTTCTTTTTGTTTGTTTTAGATCAGCAGGTGTCGCGGATGGAGAAGCTGGCGAGTTTGGTGGAGGAGCTGGAGGCGGACGAGTGGAGATACAAACCCATAGAACAACTTTTAGGTTTCACGCCTTCATAAATATAAAATAAATAAAACCCAAAGGCAGAAACGAAAACGGGACTTTGAGCCGAAATCTGCCAAAGACACGAGAGGAAAGAAAGATACCTGTAGGTTTTTAACATGTAAAAGGTGCGTTGCGTAACTTTCCTGGTGCTTTTTCCTCCATGGAGATGTTGTTGCTTTGTCTGGAATGTTTCACAGTCTGGTATTAAACCTTTTTGTCGTCCTGGAAACCATACCAGACCAAGTTGCAGGTCAGATCTGTGGAGAGGCGACCCCGCTCACAGTCAGAATCTTTGTTTTTCGAGGTATTTTTGAGCTGTAAAACCACCTGTAATTGAATAAACGTAAAGTAGTAGAGCTGTTTAAAGTCACACTGTGGAACATTCCAGATAGAGCAGTGGCATCTCCATAGCAACAAGCAGGTGGCGGACCCCAAAAAGTTACACAGTGCACCTTTACGTCATGGGGTTAGCTATAATAACATTCATCGGTTTCTACTTCATATCATTTCTTCCTGATTTGAAGAATTTTGTGAAGACCTTTCCTGGCTCGAAAGTTATAATCTTTTGGTCTGAATTGCCTTATTGCCATGACAACGGAGGACGGTTGCCACGGCAGATCCTTCAAACTAAGAACGATCTTTATGTTTACGCCCGAAACCCATGAAATGACCGCCATCTTTGCCCGATGTGGAGCCTTACCCGATTTGGCACCGCGTTTCAAACTGAGCACACCCAGATATTTCGTAAGTTGCTATGGTAACCGATAGGGGTGTAACAATAACCAAAACATCGTGATATCGTATCGTCAAAGTTCACACAATAATATCGTGGGCCTTCACAATATAACAAATCATATGTTTCTTTGGTAAATTAAGAGTTATGGTGCAGCAATAGCTAAAAAAACATAAGGAACTACATAGACCATGATCCTTTGCTCTGTTTTGGTGCAGACTACAAGAAGAAATAACAGTTCTAAGCACTTTTAAGTCTTAATTCTTTGGATTAAGTTAAGACATTTTAAGAGATATCGCAATAAATATCGTACCGTGGGATTTGGATATTGTTACATCCCTGGTAACCGACCGTATTTTGGACAAACCTCATTTCTGAGATTCGTTTTCGTTCGATCAAATTTACTCTTAGGATATAAACTTCTTAAAGGTGCACTGCGTAACTTTTCTGGTCTGATCTGCCGCCTGTTTGTTCCCCTGATGTTATTGCTTTGTCTGGAATGTTCCGTAGTATGACTTTAAACATATCCATCTAGCGTTTAGTCATTACAGGTGTTTCTGTGGCTCAAAAATACAATAAATCCTACTGTGAATAAGGGCGACTCCACGGATCTGAGCCATAACCTGCTTGGGACGGATGAGTTTAATCTACACTGTGGAACATTCTAGACAAATAAGCAATAACGTTTCCATGGAGACAAGCAGGCAGGTGGGACACGCTCTACTAGAAATGTTACGCAGTGCTTCTTTAACTGGTAAAAACTTGATGAAAGTCCGTGAAGTTTTGGCATAATGTATGTAAACTGTTAATAAACGTTACAAAACAGATAACTTTGATGATTGTGGTTAAATATAATAATTTTAGATTCTGTTTCAAGAATAAACTGTGAAATTGACGAACCTGCTTGTTTCTATGGATACGTCATTGGTCTGTCTGGAATGTTCCACAACTCTACTTTACATTTATCCAATTACAAGTCAATTTATAGCTCAAAAATACCTCGAAAAACAACATTCTGACTGTGAGCAGGGTCGCCTCTCCACTAGGGCTGAACGATCTATCGTTTTGGACCGAAAATCACGATTTCAGACAATTTTGGGAGTGTCATAGCCGCGTTTTTTTGCAGCACTCTTAAAGCCCAATTTACTGTCCAGTGTCAAGTTTCTGTGATGTTTCCAAAATCGCAGTATTTGCCAGAAAAATCGCAATTCAGTTTTGTCTTAAAATCGTTCAGCCCTACTCTCCACAGATCTGACTTGTAACTCTGTCTGGTCTGGTCTGGTCTGGTCTCCATAAAAACAGAAAGATTTAATAAAACACGGTGGAACATTCCAGACAAAACAATAACATCTCCATAGATAAAAGCGTTTGATGGACCCTCCACCACAAAAGTTACACAATGCACCTTTAATAAACATTCGTAAAAAACTGCAACTTAGATGATCATGGTGTTTTTGTTTCTATTTTTAAGAATAAACTGTGAAATTGTCAAAGTTTGATATGAATTTATTTAAACTTATCCATACGTGTGGATACATCAGAGAAAAAAAAAAAAAGCATTATATTTAAAAGAATTGAATTAAAAAGGTGCCAAATCAGCCTCTGACCGCTCCTACTTTCTGTTTTTCCTTTTGGGTCAAACAAACGAGACTAATCCACCTTCACGTTAGGAGATATATTTGTCTTATTTTTTGTTTTAACTACGAACTTTCAGATCTTGTGAGTTTAATTAAAGTGTTAAGTTTGGGAACATGATCTCAAACTTGCTGCTAACTTAAAAAGGTAAAGGTGCACTACTGTGTGTAACTTTTTTGTTTAGGGGTCCGTCACCTTCTTGTTTCTATGGATACGTCATTACTCTGCCCGGAATGTTCCACAGCGTGACTTTAAGCAGCTCTGCCTTACATTTATTCAATTACAGGTGGTTTTATAGCTCAAAAATACCAACAAAAACAACATTCTGAGCTGTAACTTGGTCTGGTTTGGTGTCCATGAAGATAAAAATGTTTAATGCCATACTGTGGAACATTCCAGACAAAGCAATAACATCTACTTGGAGAAAAGTGTTTGACAGACCCTCCACTAGAATAGTTACACGATGCACCTTTAAGGGAGCCAGAACAACAAAGCATACTTTAAACATGAAAATAAAACTTGTTGGTTGATAATTTTTTTGTATCGTCTTAATATAAATTAAAATTTTTTAACTATTTTTTGTTAGATTAAAGGGCCCATATTTCACTATTTTCTGATGTGATTATGTTGTTATGTTGTTTCCTCGTCACAAACAGACCTGGAGTTGTGTTTTGTTTTGTTTCATTCACCTGTTTAACCCGCAAAGTTCTTCTCTCAAACTGAAAACACTCTGTTCCACCTTGTGATGTCATGTGGTGATACAGGAAGTGCTTCAGTGTGTTTTTTAAACTCCGAACATCTTCACGAGAATCACTTGGATGATTTCAGCTCTGGAACTGACAATCTTTATGCAACAAAAGGTAAAAAGGAGCAGCTGACTCAAAAACTACCGCTGCGTGACATCACGAGGTGGAACGGAGCATTTTGAGCGTTGGAGACTAACAATAAAGAGTTACTCAAACGTGTGAATGAAACAAAACGCAACTCCAGGTCTGTTTGTGACGAAGAAACGACATTATAACGCGACTTAAAGCTCACAAGAGTCAATTTTATCGTAACATACAACCTTTAAGTTACATTTTGTTATTTCTCTGTTTACATTTCTACTGTTTTCGAAGTTAACCCCTTAAAATCTGTCCTTAAATTGTTACTTAAACTTGTAAATAAAGCTCACGTGGACATGTATGGATGCTGCTTGTTTTCTGATCCAGTTTTTACATAACTTCACTGACTCATGCGTTGTCTTTGATGTAAAATGAAGTGAACAAATTGTGAGTGACTGAATGAGATAATCCGACTCAGATTACAGTTGTTTACAGTGAGAAACCTCCGACACTTAAAGGCGCAGTGCACGTTTTAAATGAGGTCAAGATCGTTTAGTTACTCAACACTCGGCTCAAACCGGGACACACAATCGATTATTGTTTAGTAATGTTCTCAGATCTCGGGTATTTTTGGATTATTATCAAATTACAGCACAAAGTAGAGCCAGATTAAAAAAACAAATTACACTATTTTCTGATTTATGTTATAATCCTTCCTCATCACAAACAAACCCGAATGCTCAAATTAATAAAAAAAAAAAAAAAAAGATTCCTAAATAATTAAAACAATGTTAGATGCTATTCTTAGTTATATATATTTTTTTATTTTGAGATGCAATTATCTGAATTTCTGCACATTAGATTAGTTATTTTAATTGTTTTAATTAAATATTACATTTTATTTTTTACATAACTGTAATTCAAGATTTTCTGTGTGATACTTTTTTTTTTAAACATTAATTAAAAAAAGACTATAAATTTAACTTAACTATAATTTTGAATTTTGCGATGCATCTGAAATTCTGCACATTAAATTCAATATTTTAATAGTTTTTAACCTAAATGTTTTAATTATTACATTTTTTTTTATTTTTTTTTTAATGTAACTGTAATTAAAGATTTTGTGTGATACTTATAATTTTTTTATTTACATTAATTAAAAACAAAAGACTATAAACTTAATTATAATTTAGAATTTTGAGATACAGTTTTGTGAACCTCTGCACATTAAATTAGGTATTTTAATTGTTGTTAACCTAAATGTTTTAATTAATTTTTTTTTTGTACTTAACTGTAATTCAAGATTTTCTGTGATACTTACTCATTTTTTTTTTTTTAATTTACATTATTTAAAAACAATAAGACTATAAACTTAAAAAAAAAAAAAAAAAAAGTTAGGCATCCATTAACCTCAATTTTAAAATTACTACTTAATTGTTCAGTTTACAGTGTGGAGTTGTGTTTTGTTTTATTCACACGTTTAACACACAAACCCCCCAAAAAAATCTTTTAAACTTGGCTCCACTGTGTTTTTTAAAACTCCACACACTTTCTCACTAAACATTTGCATAATTTCAGACCTGGAATTGCCAATTTTCTGTACTGAACTAAAGGTAAATGGTGAAAAATGTTTACTTGAAAACTACCGCTTCATGACATCACAAGGTGGAGCAGAGCATTTTGAGCTTTGGAGATGTAGATAAACTAATAATAAATGATTACTCCAACACGTGTGAATGAAACAAAACAACTCCAGGTCTGTTTTTGATGAGATAACAACTTTATAACATGGTTTAAAGCTCACAGGAATTCACTTTGCATGATACAGGACCTTTAAACCAGGACTAAACTTGGTCCGGGTATTAACTAGAATTTAAATACAGGCAATAAAGAAATAAAACATCAAAATAAAAAACCAAAACACATCTTAAGTAATCTGTTTGCTTTAGTTCTGTGTTTCTCAGGCTTTTCACGCAATTCCCACCAAAAAAAAAAAATTTGTTTTGTCCAAGTGCCACCAGATCTACACCAGGACTATTCCGGGTCTAATCTAGGGCTAAACCAGGTCAGGTCTTATCTCAGTTTATAATAGAACAAGAGGAGTGTACGAATTGTAACTGAATGAATGATATAACAGTTTTTAGATTACGCTTGTTTACAAAAGGAAACTTCCACCACTTAAAGGCACAGGCTGAATACTGTTAGTACTAAAGGTGCACTGTGTAACTTTTCAGGTGGAAGGCCTGTCAAATGCTTTTCTCCATGGAGATGTTATTTATTGTTTTGAATGTTTCACAGTATGGCATTAGCCCCCTGCCTCAAGTGGAGGAGTTCAAGTATCTCGGGGTCTTGTTCATGAGTGAGGGGAGGACGGAGCGTGAGATTGACAGGTGGATCGGTGCAGCGTCGGCAGTGATGCGGTCGCTGTATCAGACCGTTGTGGCAAAGAGGGAGCTGAGCTGAAAGGCAAAGCTGTACGTTCCTCCCCTCACCTCTGGTCATGAACTTTAGGTAATGACCGAAAGGACGAGATCGCGGATACAAGCGGTCGAAATGAGTTTCCTGCGCAGGGTGTCTGGGCGCTCCCTTAGAGATAAGGTTAGGAGCTCAGAGTAGAGACGCTTCTCCTCCACGTCCAGAGGAGTCAGCTGAGGTGGCTCGGGCACAGTTGCAATCCTACACTCATTCGAGACCCCCCTCCTTGCCCGCGGTTTTAAAAAAAGTGAGGACTGGGGGGGTGTGGGGGGCCTAGGAACACCCTTAGGACTGCCCCATCTGTTCTGGATGCCTCCTGGACGCCTCCCTCGGGAGATGTTCTGGGCATGTTCCACTGGGAGGAGGTCCCGTTGAAGACCCAGCTGGAGGGACTGTCTCTGGCCTGGGAACACCTTGGGGTCTACCTGGAGAAGCTGGAGGAAGTGTCCGGGGTGAAGGAAGTCTGGGAGTCCCTGCTTTGACCCGGCTCCAAATAAGCGGAAGAAAATGGATGGATGGCATTAAACCTTTATGTCTTCATGGAGACCAAACAAGACCAAGTTACAGGTCAGATCTGTGGATTTTTGAGCTATAAAACCACCTGTAATTAAATAATGTAAAGGTAGTGCTGTTTTAATGTCACACTGTGGAATATTCCGGGCAGAGCAATGACATCCATAGAAACAAGCAGGTGATGAACCTCCAACCAAAAAGCTACACAATGCACCTTTAACCTCCTAGGACCTGATCTCTTGCACGACTTTATTGATTTCTCTTTGTTATTTGGGCTGACTGGGACCTGACAAATGCAAAAACTAAGAATAATCTTTTTACACGATGTAGCTTCTGAGAAAAATTATGTCCCCACATTATATATGAAACATTTGTATTTTTATTGTATTTCATCATTTTGATGGAACATAGTAAAGTCACAATTGAATAATGAAGTGCAAAAACTTAAATTA